TTCATTCAGACATTTTCTAGGTCATATAGCTCTGGTGTACAAGTTGCCAGAGAGTGGGGTGGAGCTCCCCAATGAAAACAAGCTTGGAAGGAGGAGTGGCATCCACTTCCATAATAGCTTGCCTCCGGAAACCCTATGAACCTAGAGAGAGGATGAAAGACACCCAAGCATTGAGGACTCTCCTTCATAGGGTCGCTATGAGTCGCCTGTGACTCGACGGCCCTTAACAACAACAACAACAAACAACAATCACTTCCATGAGTATTGATTATCTATTCAAATCCAATTAACTTCTCGGTAACTTCAATCTTTTCTCCATTTAATATTTTGTTTATTGGTCCAGTTGTGTGGATTTTTGTTTTCTTTTTTGTTGTTGTTGAGGTGTAATCCATATCAAAGTCTTTGATCTTTATCCATAAGTGTCTCAGGACCTCTTCACTCTCAGTAAGCAAGGTTGTGTCATCTGCAGATCATTGATTGTTAATACATTTCTCCAGTTCTAATACAGTGTTTCCTTCAAGTAGCCCCACTTCTCTGATTATTGCTCAGCATACAGATTGGACAACTACATTGAAAGAATAGAGCCTTGATGAATTCCTTTTAGGATTTTGCACCTTACACTACCCCTTGCTCTATGTGCAGGTGTGTTTACTTGTGTTTAATGCAGCCAGTTTAGCCTAATCCCCGAGTAGCTGCAGTTCCTGCACGTCTGAGATCTGAGCTTCCCCAGACTGTCTTTCTAGAGCTAAGGCAAAACCACCACAGATCCAACCTTGGGCCCAAGAATAAAGGACTGAATCCTGCTTTGAAGAAACAGGTGTCTTTTTAATACCAAGCTCCTGGCCTCCACACCAACAGACTACCTTTATCTTCTCTTAAGTGCCCCACCCCACCACCACTTCCACTCAGTTTCCCAATTTTTTCTCAGTCCTCTCTGCAACCAACAGATGTCTCCTGTTTTGTAAAGGTTTTATCACAGCTTTTAATTAAAATGTCCCATGTACTGATAATAAGTATCAATATTTCTAAAATTCGTCTCCCACTTCATTCCCATATATTTTAGATTATTTTAGTACATTGAATCTTCCCCCAATTATGACTATCCCATTCTGTAAAGAAAGAAGCTGGAGGGTTTAAACAATACAAGGGTTAACAGTCAAATTTCAAATCCTTGGCACTGCGGCCTCCCTGAGCAGAAGACTGAACATCCTGGTGGGCAGTGACCAAGATTTCATAGCCCCTGGTTGTTGGACTTGTATTCATGCCTGTAGGGAGGGAGCCTCTTCCCTTCTGAGGTGCAGTGACTTCTATGATGTGCTTTTCTCCGCCCATTGTCTTGGTTACTTTCACCACATGGCTGGGCAGGCCTATGCCAAGAAGGCGGGGAAAATGCTAATCGGGCAGGAGGCTTGATCAGTTTTACCTTCCCTCTAGGCAGCCTCAGAGGCAGAGAATTAGAATCTTACTACCATTAGGAGAAAAATCTAGAAAGTGTAGCATGTCCCTTGGACTTGATTGCCGCACAAATGAAAGATGAAAAGACAGAGACCGAGCAACGGCAGCAGAGGTGGTGCTGCACTGGAAGTACCGGTAGAGGTGGTGGAAAGCCAGAAACTAGTGTGAGTTATGGGCTGCCAGCCCACTGCAGGAAAGCTGAGTACTTGCTGGTGAAGTGGGTGCCTTTGGGCACTTGCTTAGAAAACCAGGTCTGTCTCACCAGAGTCAAGCACTTTTGAGTCTAGACTAACTGGCAGAATTGGGGTGGCACATACTTGGCAGCACTAACAGAGCTTTGTAACAAATGCTGTAACAGGGCAGAGGTCAAGGCCTTGAGGCCAGAGGGTCAGAAAAGACATTGTCCTGATTGAAGAATTGTAATCTATTACTTCCCTAATTAACTCTATGATCATGAGTGTTGTCTGTGAGTTCTGTGTGGCCACTGCAATGAATTATTAAGTCCAATCAAGAAGTAGTGAGTGATCCCCAGCAACCACAGCAAAATTCAATAAGACAGCAAATAACAAATGCTGGCAAGGTTGTGGAGAGATTGGAAATTTTATTAGCAGCTCGTGGGAATGTCAAATGGTCTAACCACTGTGGAAGGCACTTTCTCAAAAAGTTGGAAACAGAAATACCATTTGACCTAGAAATTCCACTACTGGGATTATACCCCAAAGAAATCAGAGCCACAACTCAAATAAATGTATACACTACCAGGTCTGTTGCTACATTATTCACAACAGCAAAGAGATGGAAGCAACTCAGGTGTCCATCAACAAATTAATTGATAGAAAAACTATGGTACATTCACACAATGGATTATGCAACACTAAAAAATAATAAACTCATAAAACATTGAACAACATTGGGGAGCCTGGAAAACATTATGCTAAGTAAAATATCTCCATCACAAAAGGACAAATACTGCATAACACTGCTGTTATAAAATAGGACAGACATGTGGGGAGTTAGGGAGGGAATGGGGAAAGAGTGGATGATAGATAATGAACATTGCATCAGAACAGATGAGGAATCCTAAAGGATTATATAAAGGAATCCTAAAGGAATTATATAAAGGAATCCTAAAGGAATATATGATTAGGCATTATATTTATGTGAATATCTGGAAAAAGTGATGCATTCTGGTGTGGGCTGGGGGTAGAAAATACGCAACAATGGATTTTTAAAAAATAATAGAATTTTAAGGCTGGGGAAAAAGAAATAGTGAGTACTGTGGGAGGCATCGCCGGTGTTGGAATTGTTCTACTAAAGTGTACAACATGTCTGGCCTCTTTGGAATCAGTGTGAAGCATTTGGTGCAGTTAATGTTGATTATCCCCCCTTGTGAAGTTGGTAGAGGTTCTGTCTACAATGCTCATCTCACCGTCTCAGTCTCCTCCAGGGTACATTTCTAACCATTTCCCTGGTGAGTCTCCAGTACTTCTTAGGAGAACATTTCACAGTTATATGATCATCCAAGAGCAAAGGTGTTCTATGTCTGTCTTCTGCACAGCCAGTGGGAGCGGAAGAACAGACACATCTAACTGATGTATGGCTCTTGTCTCCGAGCTTCACATACAGTGGTCTCCTCCTGAGTGTTCACTCACCAGGTGATGCTAGAATGAAAGATGGCTGGTTCTCCTCCAACCTCTCAATTTAAAGGTGAGAATAAGGATCCCAGTAGCAAGTTGTTCTGTGGCCTCTGATGCTGTAGCCAGCCAGCCTAGCAAGAGGAATACTTGGGACTTTGCTTCCCAAGAAAGAAAACGGAAAGATTACTGAGTGAGCTGGGGCCCACTATGCAGTCTAGAAAGTGTAAGACTCCCTCCCCCAGTGGGGTTCCCACCTGGTCTAAAAAGCTTCATTGTGGGGGTTCTTGCTCATCTGGCACATTGTGGCCACCTAACAAATGAGTGGCCTTCTCTTCTTTCTCCAGAAGGGCAGTATGTCCCTTGAGTCAAGGAAGAGCCCTTTTTTTATATTTTCACCCCCTACCTTCCCCATTCCAACTTTCACCTCTCTTCTAGCCAGTTGTCAGAATTAACAAACTCCTGGCTCTAATCTTCCCAAAAAATGTGTCTGTCTTCCCTGTTAGGAATTTACCGTTGGAATGCTGGTTGGAGATGTGACAAGGAAGGGGAATTCACAGGTCCTCCTACTCACAGCGCCATCTCCCGGGCCCCTGCCTTGAGTGTGTCCATTCAGGGATTCTGGCCCTCGCCGCCCCGCCCGGCTGGGTCTGTCCAGCGCCCCGGCCCTCCCCATCCTGGCCGGTTTCCTGCCCCCACCCCGCCCCGCCGCGCTATTTAAGGGCCGCCCAGCCCAGCTCTCCAGGGCTCCCTCAGGCGCCGCGCCTGGCAATCGTGAGAACCCTTCACCTGGGCCGGGCTGGCAGGCAGGCGGTGAGTCAGAGGCGGGAGGGACCACCTGCCAGCGGGGGTCTCCAGGGGACACTGAGTCCCGCACCTGCCCGGGCTGAGAGAGGCTAACAGGGCGCGGTGAGCGGAAGCACTGGACTCACCAGCCTGACCTTAGGTCAGCCCTGTGCTAAGGGGGTTTCCTACTTTCTTTCCTTGAATCCTTGTAAAACCTCTAAGAAGTAGGAATATTATTCTTTCCGTTTTACAGGAAAAGAGACTCTAAGAGGTTGTCCCTTATCCAAGGTCACAATTAGTAAAAAATGAGACAGGATTTGAATCAAGGTCTGATACTAGAGCTAAGCTCTAAACCACATTGTTCCCGGAAGAGACTTCTCCCCACTCCTGACCTCCTCTCGTATCTCTCCCCTCTTCCCAACCACATCCCCCAAGATGAGCCCTGGGAACTCAGAGCCCTGTGAGTGTCTGCAACACAGTTTGTCTCAGGGGTGTAGAATTTGGCATCAACAGCCTTGAGAGGTGAATGGAGGAAAAGGCAAGACCAAAGTGGTCATTAACTGCTGACAGGTGGAAGCAATAGGAAAACCTACCTTCCAAACCATCTAAAACCCCTCCCAAGCCCCTGTCCTCAACCTGAGTTAGAATGAGGTCAACTGGATGAGATACAGTAGGGAGGGAAATGGGGCCCCTAAAAAGATTGCAGGTAGCACATCCCACACTGAAGAGAGCCAGCCTTGGACAGAAGGCACAGCTCAGCCACGTGACCTTGGATAAGATCCCCAAATTCTCTGTTCCCATAGCCTCAGGTGCCTCTTAACTTGATTTTGGTCTCCTTGAACCTTGGGGCTCTGGCTGGGGAAACAGGGACACAGAGATGTGACTAGGCACGTACTGCCACCATACCCACACATTCAGAGAAGCAGAATGAGAGATGCAAAGAGCTTAGCATCTATCACCCACAAACCTGCTTTGGGTCCTGTCTGCCCTGCTGGGTCAGTCCCTCCCCCTCCTTGACCCTCTCTGTCCCTGAATGTAAAATGGGATGGCAGACCGCTCTACAGACTTGTTGCTCAGTGTTGCTGATGTTCCTCTCTGTTTCTTCCAGATAGAGGCCCAGGAGTGATGGGTGACTGGGGCTTCCTCGAGAAGCTGTTGGACCAGGTCCAGGAGCACTCGACCGTGGTGGGCAAGATCTGGCTGACCGTGCTCTTCATCTTCCGCATCCTCATTCTGGGCCTGGCCGGTGAGTCGGTGTGGGGAGATGAGCAGTCTGACTTCGAGTGTAACACGGCCCAGCCAGGCTGCACCAATGTCTGCTACGACCAGGCCTTCCCCATCTCTCACATCCGCTACTGGGTGCTACAGTTCCTCTTTGTCAGCACGCCCACCCTGGTCTACCTGGGCCACGTCATATACTTGTCCCGGCGCGAGGAGCGGCTAAGGCAGAAAGAAGGGGAGCTTCGGGCACTGCCCGCGAAGGACCCCCACGTGGAGCGGGCCCTGGCATCCATAGAGCGTCAGATGGCCAAGATCTCGGTGGCAGAGGACGGGCGCCTGCAGATCCGAGGGGCACTCATGGGCACCTACGTGGCCAGTGTGCTGTGTAAGAGCGTGCTGGAGGCAGGCTTCCTCTACGGCCAGTGGCGCCTCTATGGCTGGGCGATGGAGCCCGTGTTCGTGTGCCAGCGTGCACCCTGCCCCTACCTCGTGGACTGCTTCGTCTCTCGTCCCACAGAGAAGACCATCTTCATCATCTTCATGCTGGTGGTGGGACTCATCTCTCTGGTGCTCAACCTGCTGGAGCTGGTGCACCTGCTGTGCCGATGCCTCAGCCGGGGGATGAGGGCAAAACAGAACCAAGAGGCTGCCCCAGCCCAAGGGGCCTCCTCAGACCCTTACACCGACCAGTTCTTCTACCTCCCCATGGGCGAGGGACCTTCTTCCCCACCGTGCCCCACCTACAACGGTTTGTCATCCAGCGAGCAGAACTGGGCCAACCTGACCACAGAGGAGCGGCTGGCTTCTTCCACTGCTCCCCTCTTTTTGGACACAGCCCCCCAGAGTGGTCGGAAACTCCCTAGCCGACCAAGCAGCTCTGCTTCCAAGAAGCAGTATGTATAGAAGACTGGGGCTTAGGCATCCGATGAGGGAGCCTGGGAAGTGTGGCTGCTGTGGATGCCTCCTCCTTTAAGACTCTGCAGAGACGCCTGGTGCCTCATTTTGCAAGTTGTTTCTGAACACCTGGGATCTTCCTGGGACCAGAGGGCACCCCAGGTTCCCCTTCAGAGCACAACTCTGTCAGCTCAAGGTGCTCCTGGCCAAGGTGGTTGTGGGCCCTCTGGTCTTTTTTCACCTGGATTAGGCGGGCATCTAGAATCAACTATCCCAACACTTACACTCATGGAAAATTCACCTCTGTCCAGGTGTTCCTCAGACCGTCTTCTCACACAAGAAGGCTGCTGAAGGCTGCTGGGTCGGCCTTCACCACATAGTTAAAGCCTGTGAGGGAGAACACTGTGAGGATGGGGAAAGGCTACGGGTCTGGGACTCACCCTGTCAAGAGGACTGGGGCCTTGTTCTTATCACGCCTTCCCAGTTCCGCTGTTTATACTTCTAAAATAAACAGGACTCAATCCTAAACCCAATGTGTATTAATTCTGTCGGGATGTGCTTGGGGGGAGGGGGTGGCGGGGGGAAGCAGTTCGTTTGCCCCAGCATCCTTTTCTTTTTGGTCCTGCACAATCTCTGGCCTCCACACCCCTTGACTCCACATATTATCTTCAACCTTCAAACTCATTCCACCACAGTCCTGAGTCCCGAACACTCTCCGTCCCCATGGGCCCAGCCCCAGCCAGCCACCTGCTTGTTTGCCAGTGGTCTGAGCAGCAGTTTCCCCATCACACCTCATGTCTGCCTGGTCCCCAAGTCATCCTGTCCCCTGCGATGTGTTTCTCCTCACTGGGCAAGCTTGCTGTCAGCTAAGTTCTTTGCAGTCCACCCCTGTCTCGCCTTGGTGTTTGGGGAAAGGAAGCTTTTAAATCACTGTCCCTTTCTAGTCTGTGCTTCAGAAAAAAAGCAACTCAAAAGCCCGCCTTATACCTCCTTTCCATACCTCAGATCTCACTCTGAGAATAATGGACCCTGAGTGATATACGCAGTTAATGCACTCTGCTCCTAACTCAAATGTTGACAGTTTGCATCCACCCAGAAGTGCTCAGAAGAAAGGCTGGTTGTTGACAGTTTGCATCCACCCAGAAGTGCTCAGAAGAAAGGCTGGTTAATCAATAGTTGACACATCAACCACTGACAAGCCTCTGAGCAGTTCTTCTCTAAGAGTCAGGACTGACGTGACAGCAACTGGTTTTTAGAGGGATGGTGAGGGAGTCCAGTGGAGGGACTGACTCTTGCCTCTAGTCATGAAGACTGCAGAGAAAAAGTAACATTTGGACTGAGTCTTGAAAGGGGAATAGGAATACACCAGGGAGGGGAGGACAACGAATTATCTGGGCAGAGAAAACTAAAACCCTGGAGGAAAAGGTGGTCGGGTAAAGTGATACTCGGGATCTGATGGGCCATCTCAAAAGCAGGAGAACCGATTGGGTGTTCCATGTGAAAGATGACCAGGTGGGGGAGAATTCAAGCAGTAGACCAGCCACTTGTCCTCTCCTGCAACAGGAAGATCTGCAAATGCAGTTGGTGGAGGAAGCAGGTGGCTGTCTCTTGTGACCTCCTGTTTCTACTAAGGGCCACATTGTCACCACAGCAAGTTGACAACTTGGCTCCTATCCACCAGGTAGAGCTCCAAAGAGTCTCAGAATGAATTCACTCACAGCCTCCCCATCAAGTCTAATTGTTCGTCCTCAGAAGTTAGAGCCTCTCACTCTTCCAGCCTCAGCTCCGATTGTCCTCTCTGAGTCCCTAAGGTCCACAGGAGCCTCCTCACTGTTCCCCAAACTCACCCTTTGCCAGCCTGGAATGCCACCACATGTACTTAAAAAGCCCATCAGTTCTTGAAACATTCTGTACTCTGAAAAAGGCAGAAGAGTAAGAAAAACTTGGGCCTCAGAGGACCCTAAATATAAATGCCTCCCCCACATGCACAAGCCAATTGGTTCAGTCTTAAACCAAGTACTTCTCTGAGTCTCCATTTCCTTATTTTAAAATAATATCATTTGCCTCACAAATGGCGAGAAAAAAATTTCTAAAGAGTCTATCAGTGTGCTTCACAATCATATAACAAATCTCAGTGAGCCCCACAGCAAGGCTAGTTTCGGTCCTCCCTTTTCCAGGAAGCCTTCACTGATTTCCCCCACCCAGCAAGAAGACCCAGCAACGACCTCTGCATACCAGGGACCTGGACCATTAGTGCTTAGTACTTGCTAAGCTCGTCTCTCCTTAAGTCCCTAGATAATCCTGAGGATGCATATTTGCTCCCCATTTTCCTGTGGGCCTAACCCAGCATTTCCCTTGATATGAACAATGGAGTTAGACTGGGAAGAAAGGAGACATTCACATCAGACTCTAGGAAGTTTCTCCCCTAACCAAGGTGAAAAGCTGGGGACTGTGAGTCAGAGGCTGCTCTCTCAGAGTCAGCCCCACCTGAAGACCCAGGGAACCTGCTTCTGGTATTCTCTACTGGTCCCAGGTTAGAGCGGTAGAAAGAGAAAGGTGGGAAGGAGATCCTTCCTCCCCCTCAAAGCTCACTTCTTCTGAGCTTAGTGTTGGAACCAGAGTTAGGCTGGGGCTCAGGGTCTCGAATCTTCAAGACTGAAGTTGGTGACCCTACCTGCTGCTTTTGCATCTTATGTATTTTGCTTGTTCTGTTTTGTTTATTTCAACATCATTTACAATGAATTATAGATGAAATCGGACTAGAGGGTTTAAGGGTGATATTGCTGTAGTGTTGAAATAAGGGAAATTCAATGGGGTGAAGAAGTATGTAATGAAAAGTTGCCATAAACTTTCTCTACCCACTGACCACATCTCTCCATGCACTGGTGCTAGAAGACTGAAGTATTAAGGATCTCCTTGGCAACAGGGCCTGCATGGAACACTGCGGATTCACCTCTCATGTTCTTCTTCCTCCGCCAGGAGTCCATCCTTCACCACTGCCAAAAGCCAACTGGACAACAGGCAATTCTCAGCCAGAGAAAGAGAGTGACTCTGAAGGAAGCAGATCATTCTCCTGCCTCATTCAACTGTGCCTCTTCCCCATTGTCTGTCTAGACTTCATCTTCCCCGCTGTCAAACGAAGGGTTGGAGAAGAAACAGGCAATCAAATGTGAAGTGTGTTACATGGAACAGCTAATGCCAGACCTAAACCTCATGGGTCATATGGTGTTGTTATTGTTGTTGTGTACTGTCAAGTCGGAACTAATTCATAGTTGATCTTCCAGTATGTTTTCAAAGGCTGTAAATTGTACTGGAGAAGAGTGTCTATCTCTCTCCCTTGGAGTAGTTTATGAATTCTAATTGCCAACAACTCCTTACTGATGAGACCACCAGAACTCCCTACCACACAGTTATTAACATTCAGAAGTAATTCCCTCTAGCCCCCTTCCGTACATATTTTAAAAATGAAATCTGAGTAGAAGTGTCCCTACAGAGCCCATGTAGTGTTAAGTATTGTGCAGTCAGTTCTAAGCCAAATGTTGGCAATTCTAACCTACCCAGTGTCTCTGCAGAAGAGATGCCTGGCAAATTGCTTCTGTAAAGATTACAGACTGGAAACCCCGAAGGAGCAGTTCTCTGTTAACGCACACATTCTCCATGAGGTGAGAGCTTGCACAGCAGCACCCAGCAACAACAAAAGGTGTACCCTTGGGTTTTATTATTGTGATTTTTTTCATTTTACATTAAATCATCAGTCTTTTCCTCTGTCATTGAGTATCTTTGGAAACCCCCTGTGGCTTTAATAGTAACGATTTAGCCATGACACCGTTACTGGATTTTTAAATTGTTTGTAACAAATTACTCTCTATTATAAATTAAACCTTGCTATAGAAACCTGTGCATAGATATTTTCCAAATAGCCAGGTTTTTAAAAAATTATTTAGTCATTTTAACTAACATTTACAGAGAAGTTAGATTTTCATTCATTCATTCATTCATTTTTGTATTTTACCCCACTCCCTCCTTCCTCCCTCCTCCAGTTCACTTTTTTTTTTAATATTCATTCATTGTTGTTCAATTACCTACTTCCCAGACCAAGTCCTCTTTGCAATGACATACCTCTTATTGTGGGCTGTTGTCATACATATAATGTCTAACTATTCCTTTCAGACAGTTCTCTCTTTCATCTGTTCCAATGCAATGGTCATTATCTATCCACCTTTATTCTCTTCTCTTCCTAACCCCTCATGTCAGAACTGCTTTATAACAGTGGCGCTCTGCAGTATTTGTTAAGTTTTTATTTTCTTAAGAAAAGACATACTAAAAAAGGGAACTCACTGGGTCAAAAGATAGGCAGTTATAAATAAAAATGTAAGAGGCTTTTTTTCCCCTGATTATGAAAATAGGTCATGGTAGATGATGTCAGGAAAACCAAAAAGCACAAGCAAAATAAACGGCATGAAAGCCCTAACTACTTCTGAGAGCGAGTGGGAAGTTTATTCTCTGGAGAAGATAAAACTGAAAGTCTCTGGTCGGGCAAACACTACATAGTTGAATATGGGAATATTACAGTGGAAACAGAGAAATTAAGTTGTAGTTTACATACTACCTCATGGGACATTCAACCTCTTCCCCCAGGGCCACCATGGTTAGTCATTTTCCAGCTGTCTGATGCATACCAAGTAATTGTGAAGACCATACCTAGATTGGGCACATCTTAATCTCCAGACTGACATCCTTGCTCTTCAGCATTCTGGAGAGGTCTCTGACTGCAGATTTTTCCAAGGCAACTCATGTTTTGCCTTCCTGAGTGCTAATGCCAAGAATGTTGATTGTGGAAGACCAAGCAAGCTGAAATTGTTAACAATCTCAGTCTTTTCTCTAACACGATGCTCGCAGTTGGCCCAGTATATGCTGAGTGAAATATCTCAGTCACAAAAGGACAAATACTACACAACATCGCTGTTATAAAATAGGATAGACATGGACAGGTAAGGCAGAGAATGGGGGAAAAGTG